AAAGAAACGCAGACTAATGAGCATGCGTTTTAATGCAAGTTCGTGGTAATAAGGTTGGAGAGGGACAGACTAAACAAATGTGACACCCTGTTAAGACCCAACTTCTTAAATCAATGCTCTGGGTTCCAGAACAATCCGCCTACACTCTCCGATCCCAACAGAAGCGATGGGTGCTTTCCCACACTGCGTGACAGCAGGGCTATTCACAGACTTCAATCAGCTGTCTTTTTAATAACCCACAAATCAGTTATTATAGGATCCGATTCTTGTTTGCACCAAATTCAGCATGTCCGAATATTTTTTATTGATGGATTGTCAAGCAGGGGAATGGGAAAGTTGTTGACTTGGACTGGATATAGACAAGGGAGTGGCTCTCATGTGGTGATGCAGGCTGATTTGGTTTAAGAGCCTGTAGTGTTTGGCAATTGAATTGAGCCAATAATCATGCAGACATGCAGTTTTTCCAACAATCTTCTCTCGAATACTCTCCATCATCTGGGAAAATATTTGTGAATGTCTCATTGATGTTGTAAATCTCACTTGCTGATTTGTTTTACACATACTGTACTTTTCCTCAGTCACAAGTAGAATGTGCAAAACTATATGCTTTCATCAGTGGGTTGTCTGAATGACTGGTCGGGTTTAAAGATGCCTATGTAATTACACTGATTTAAGGTCAGATCCAGCGCACTGATCAGATGTGTTTTTCAGGGGGCGATCACAGAGGATTCATTTTTTGTGTTTAAAATCTACTTGAACCTTTGCACAATCGTCAATTTGCATTAGATAGGGGGTAGAAAGAGTCATAAATTATCGTTTGTGTGATGCACTCACGTCAAATCCATCGTGCAGTGCATAATCTACTTCTATTCCTCGTCGCAAAAGGGCTACTTACATATGCCAATTTATACAGTAAAAGAAAAAGTAAAAAGTTACCTTATCATATAAAGGTGAAAAACTGTACGTTTTAACTGTTCATTATTGTCAAATCTATGGGTTTTACAAATAAATATGAAATATGAAAACGGCAATTCCCCAAAAGCCCTGCATAACACGTTTTATATAAATAATGTTGTTTCTTCTCATTTTTGCTATCAGTAATGTACATTGTTACATTTTCCCTTTTTTGCTATTGCTTTAGGTCATTTTTATTTTCTTATCTTACATTTACTTGTGTATGCTTGTTAGTTTTCTTATGTTGATTTTGTTTATATATGACATTGATTGTTTAGTAATCCTGCTGTAGGTGTGGGGGATTGGTTGAGCATGTCTTCTAGTTTGTGTATGTGTTGCGTACATGTTTTGCATGGTTGTATTGTTTATGTTGTAATATTTCGTTTTTTGTTTCTGGACCCCCTTGAAAATGAGATGCCACATCTCAAGGGGCTATCCTTTCAATAAATTCAAATTCTGTTATTTAGTTAATATGTTTGCATTATTTTAGTGTCTATTAGGGTTGGGCGATGTCAACAAAATTGGCATCGGACGATGTCTATAGTGAAACATCACGATGGACGATGACGTCGGCGGCGCGGGGGTTGGCGTTGGAGTTAGGGGCTGTGCCCGAAGCATCAATCCTTATAAGGCACGGAAAACAAATAACTATTCCTAACACCGTGTCAACACCGGACGCGAGCTGCGCGACAACATACTATAGAACCACTGATCTATAATAGAGATTCATTATATATAGATCAGTGTATAGAGCTCATTATAATTGGCGCGGCCATCGTCTATCAGCCCAACCCTAGTGTCTATGTTAGGATCTGATGGTGTTTTGTCTGTCATGTGACCCTGTGCACTATATAAGTATCAGCTATGATTTATATACAGGCTACTTACGATGAACTCTGATTCATTATGTTGTTTTCTACTGTGCCACCTGTATTATGTTAATTTTGGTGTTAATCAGTACATTTTAAGGTAAAATATAAATTTTGGTAGTTTAAGTAAATCGGTATAATAAATATATTAGGTATCAACATGCTATCATGTCATACTCGAAACACTGTCATTTTGTATTATTTATGGTGAATTTCAGCTGCTGTTTTTATGGTAAATATAACAGGATATTTTTTTACACCGTAGTTGCTTGCAGAACAAACCTTACCTTAATTTACAACTTTTAAACCTCGGATTTGTGATATGTTCATAAAGCATCTTCATAATTTAAAAACATTGAGAAAATACCTAGAAATAAATATTGGTCACACTTTTTTAAAGGTCCAATTCTCGCTATTAACAAACCATTAACTACGACTTTTGCCTCAATAAACTCCTAATTTGCTGCGTATTAGTAGTTAGTAAGGTAGTTGTTAAGTTTAGGTATAGAATTAGGGATGTAGAATATGGTCATGCAGAATATGTGCTTTATAAGTACTAATAAACAGCCAATATGTTAATAATAGGCATGCTATTAAGCAACTAGTTAGAATTGGTCCCTATAGTAAAGTATAACCAAGATATTTATTTCAAACAAAATCAAGTCTCCAGAAATGGAGGCGATAAAACAAAGTGAAACAAAGTCTTTTTTTCTTAGTGAACTACACAAAATAGCCTTCTTATCAATGTACAGAGGAGCGCAGAAGTGAATCACTGTGGCCTTTTTTTACACACAGACGGTGGGGGAGCCCAAGGCCTCACAACTGAACTGCTGTCTATCACATCTGACCCCAAAAGAAAACACATTAATCTAAAGCCAGTAGCTGATGTCTAATGGAAAAAATGGTATTAGATCCAAAGCGGAAATGGTCAGTAAATCTGCTGATCTGTTATTATTTATGTGTATTGGCCTCATATAAATAACAAGCGTGAAGCAGTAGCCGAGAGCAACAACTGTACTATTCTGGACCATAGTCAACATCTCAGATTCAACTATGCAAGCAGATACAAACTGCTAAGGTGTGGGCCTCTTGTCTACAACTTCAACAAAAGACCTCAAAGGGAGTTTCCATTCCCAAGGCCAAAGAAAAACACATTTTCTCAATAACTGGCTGTCGGAGAACCAATAAAACCCTGTCTTAATCAGTTCCTCTTAGCTACAAAGTACAACAACAGCTTGAAAAGCAGACATCCTTATTTGAGGTGCTAAGAGACGTCCAAGTTCAAATCAGTATTTGTAAACTAATTTTACAATATTATGCAAATGTAAACATTTAAAGAAGGTGTTTACTCAAAAATATTGTTTCATCATTTATTTACCCTCATGTAGCTACAAAAGAAAATATGACTTTCTTTTGTGAAACAAAAAAAGAGAGACTCTGAAGTAGGGATGTTGCAATATAGCGACAACTGTGGTATTTTTCTTTTCAAAATTTCTATAGACATTGCAATAATATTTGTTAACGTGAATCATAGCGTTCGATTTTATCATGCCATTTTTCCTTTTCAAAATTTCTATAGATATTGTAATAATATTGTTAACGTGAATCATAGCGTTGGATTTTGTTATCATGGTGTTTTTTCTTTTCAAAATTTCTATATATATCGTGATAATATTGTTAACGTCATTCAGAGCATTAGACCTAGTTATCACGGCATTTTCTTAAAAGTTCTATAGATATTGTCATTATGATATTGTTAATGTGAATCATAGCACTGGATTTTGTTATCATGACATTTTCCTTTCAAAGTTTCTATATTGTATATTTATATTCTATATTGTAATAATATTACTGTTAACATGAATCATAGCATTGGGCTCATTTATCTTTTTTTTTTTTCCTTTAATTTCCAATAGATATCACAATAGTATTGTTAACATGAATTATAGTTATCATGACATTTTCTTTTCATTTCTTTCCTATGGATATAACGTGAATTAACGTGACTTTATGGCATTTTTCTTTTCAAAATTTCTATAAATAATATCGACTGTGGAGCTCTAGAAATTATAAGAGTGCACCATAAATGTAGTCCATATTGACTTTTATGCTTTATTTCAAGTCTTTTTAATCCATGATATCTTTGGGAGATATCATAATAGAACAGACACAAAATTTGAGTAGCTGTGTGAAAAATTCACAAAAAACATTCATTTGATTTCAAGATTATCACTTGTGCCTGTTCAAATATGGCATCTCAAAGATATTCAAGTTATTGGTTCTCCTGTGCCTTGCGACAAATCGAGATGTAATTTTATTTAAATTTGAACGCAAGCATGAATGAATGGCAATATTTGTACTATTATCTGGTTTTTACACAACTTGACACCATCCACAGTCATTGTATGGAAAAGGGCAGAACGAACATTCTAATAAACATCTGACTCGGTGTTCATACAAATGAAAGAAAGTCATATGAATCTGAAACAACATAAGGGGGAATAAATGATGACAATGTTTTCATTTCTGGGTGAACCATCACTTTAAGCATCAGATAAGACCAAGGATGGAGAGAGAAATGCAGAAAGAAGAGATAAACAGGGTGAGGCTGTAAAAGGGCCATTCTTTCCCCACATAATCCCAAGAGATAGAAAAACAGAGATTGTGTGCATGTGTGAGAGAAAGATACAGAGTAAGTGAGTTGGAGAAAGAGTTACCGGTAACCCCACCTTGCCGAATGGAACAGTGGGATGTAAAGAAAGAGGTGTCTGGGGGTAAAGTTATAAGCCACAAACAAGTGCCTGTTAGATAACATGAGAACGGAGCCTGTATCTCTTTCCTAAAAGCTTTGCCCCAACAGGTTTGTAGAACGGGAGGATTGCGGTTTCAGCCCCCTGGTTAGAGTGATACCATCTTCTCCGAGGTCAATGATGTAGTTCCAAAGAACCTACAACAGCTGCTTGTGTGGAAGGTCATAACTGATGCTCATTTGTCCCACATACCCTCTCGGAAAGCTCGGAACGATGGCTTCCATTAGCGAGATCAGAGAACAGCTCATCAGGGAGGGGTGAAACAGAAGAGCCTCTTGACGGGAATATCTGGTCTAAATTTCCACCATCGAATCCCTTTTACACAAAAACATTCTCCACAAAAATCAGTGTAGACTCCAGTTCTTACCATCTGCCTGATTCCACTGAGGACAGTGAACCTTCTCGCCCACATGTGTGGTGATCTGGTTAGTTAAAACCACCTGAGGGAGACAGAAAGAAAACATCTGTACATGAGTTCAGTCCAGTTTGAATGGATCACACAAAGATGAGAATAAACAGTCTGCTGTCACTATGGAAGTACTTAACAACTGTTGGCATCACTCCTTACATAATGGTATACATATGTGAGTAAAGAACAGGCAAACAAATTCTAGCAGGGCCTCCAGCATGACCATCATTTTAGCACGTATCACCTTAAAGGTGATCCAAGATGTTCATGTCTTTCCTCCATATAGTGGACTTAAATGGTAGCCAATGGGTTGAATGTCCAAATTGCAGTTTCAATGCAGCTTCAAAGGGCTCTACACGATCCCAGTCGAGGAATAAGTGTCTTATTTAGTGAAATGATCTGTCATTTTCTAAAAATTTTTTTTTTTTAAATAAAAAAAAAATAACATTTTAACCACAAATGCTCGTCTTGCACTAGCTCGACTTCACACATTACGTAGTCAAGTTGGATAGGTCACACGTGACGCAGGCGGAAGTACCGACCCAGTATTTACAAAGCAAACTCACAAAGAAAGTCAAACACCCTTATAAAAAAAAGGTAAAACAACAATGTCGGATGATGAAAATGAGATGTTTTCGCCCTACCCTACCTTTTTGAACCAAAGTACACAGACGAAGAACTAACCACGTAATGTGATTACATAATGCGTGAAGTCGCGCATGCTCATCGCAGAGCTAGTGCAAGACAAGCATTTGATGTTAAAAAGTACATACATTTATTTTTTTTGACCGAAATTGACCGATTGTTTCAGTAGATAAGACTGACTAGGATAGTCTAGAGCCCTTTGAAGCTGCATTGAAACTGCAGTTTGGACCTTCAACCCATTGGATACCACTGAAGTCCACAATATGGAGAAAAATACTGGAACGTTTCCTCAAAAACCTTAATTTCTTTTCGACTGAAGAAAGACATGATTATCTTGGGTGACATGGGTGTGAGTAAATTATCAGGAAGTTTTATTCTGGAAGTGAACTAATCCTTTAAAGCCAGCGGCGACAGCCGACTAAGGACAGTATGTCACTTCTCAGATATTCCAAGACCCGCCAAACACGATTCAACATGTTCAATCAATCGCCGGCAAACACCAACAGGGGTAACACATTGATAAAAAAAAACTTAAAGGGGTCATATGATGCAGCTAAAAAGAACATTATTTGGTGTAATGAAATGTGTTTATGCGGTTTAAAGTAAAAAAAAAAACACATTATTTTCCACATACTGTACATTATTGTTTCTCCTCTATGCCCCGCCTTTTTGAAACACGTCGATTTTTACAAAGCTCATCGGTCTGAAAAAGCGAGGTGTGCTGTGATTGGCCAGCTATCCAGTGCATCGTGATTGGCCAAATACCTCAAGTGTGTGACGGAAATGTTACACCCCTCACCATACTGTGATGGCGTGTCCCGGCCAGAGCGACGAGACAAAACCATTAAAACCCATTACAAACGAGGAATTTGTTGCATCCAGTGGGGACATAATTACTGATTATAATGACTTACACTGTCTTTTTACGCATTGCGTTGCATTGCATCGCGCCGCATAAACATAAAACTCTGTCTGCATTTGTGATCGGAGAAATGACAAACAGCAAGCACTACTCTACACTGCCCAAAACTCGCGTTTGAATCATCAGTGGCAAATCCTTTAAATGAAAACGTACTTACGTGAGTCAGAAC